CATAAAGCTATAATTATAAATCTATGTTGATAGGCATACAGTGCATAAAAATGTAATTTTTGACAACAGCACAAAGGTACAGGAAATAGAATTACATAAAAGGTTTGTGTAGTACTGAAATTTTGTTTTATTAATCTGAACTAGATTTTTAAAATTAAAATGTTAGTTGTAAATCCCCAGGACAAACACTGAGAAAATAACTATAAAATACAGAAGAAAAGACTAGAGAATTAAAATGGCATCCTAGAAAATATCTAACACAAAATTAGCCAGGAATGGAAGACTAGAGAAACAAAAAAGACAGAAAATGAATAGCAAAATGGCAGATATAAATCCTACCTTAACAGTAATTACATTAAATGTAACTAATGTACCTTAAATTACCATTTATCATAGTCTCTTGGTGAGTCCTCATGGCTCGTCATGAGATGTGACTGGCTCAGGAAGGAGTAGGGCTTCAGGAAACCCCACTAGCAGCCAGGGAATCATTTAATTGACCATGCCATTCTCCTGCTTAATACCCGCTAACGGCTTCCCATAGAAACCCAAATGCCTGCCTCAGCCAGCAGGGCCTCCACACCCTGAAGTTTGACAACTTCTATGGTTGATCTGAATCATTCTGACTATCATAGATAACAAACCATCTCAAAATTTAATGGCTTAAAATAACCCCATAATATTGCTCATGAATCTGCAAATTGGTCAGTGCAAGGTGGGGGAGGCTTGCCTCTGCTCCACTTGCTGGGGCTATTCTCTGAGGGTGGTTGGATCTGAGCACTCCGTCAGAGGATTGAGAAGCTGGCTCTGCTGTCAGCTGGGAGCTCAACTGGGGTGAGGGTTGGAGACCTCTATTTCTTCATGAGTCTCCCCACTTGCTCTATTTTTCCTCAGAGTGTGGTTGGGTTCCAAGAGTGAAATCCCTGAGAGAGAGAACCATACAGGAGCCATATCATCATTCATGACCTACCTTTGGAAGTCATGCAGTGTCACGTCTGTCACACTGCAGCCATGGAGACAGTCACAGAGGCCTGCCCAGGGTCTAGGGAAGGAGCATAGACCCCACCTCTTGATGGGGACTGCCAAAGTTTTGGAAGAACAAGTGGGACCAGAAAGGTTGCAGCCATTTTTGGAAAATAGATGGCCACAATATCTTTCATGGGTTTTGTTTAGGGGTGTGTGTGTGTAAATCCCATGTTTTGTTTTGTTTTTAAGATTTTATTTATTTGACAGAGATCACAAGTAGACAGGCAGGCAGAGAGAGAGAGAGAGAGAGAGAGAGAGAGAGGGAAGCAGGCTCCCTGCTGAGCAGAGAGCCCGATGCGGGACTCGATCCCAGGACCCTGAGATCATGACCTGAGCCGAAGGCAGCGGCTTAACCCACTGAGCCACCCAGGCGCCCCTAAATCCCATGTTTAAATGAGTCCTAGATGGTAAGCTCTCTCTAAAGGTTTTTCTTTTTTCTTTTTTTTTCTTTTTATTGTGTTATGTTAGTCACCATAAAATACATCATTTCTCTAAGGGTTTTCTTATGTGACAACAAATTATGATTTCTAGCATAATGTTTTACATGGAGCTAATGCTTAATTTTCACACACGATGTTATGACAGCTGTAAGATAGCCATAGCTGAATCAATAATTTTTGAAGAATTTGAACTCCCAAGTATATCCTTTCTTAAAATCACACTGTATGTGGGGCGCCTGGGTGGCTCAGTGGGTTAAAGCCTCTGCCTTCGGCTCAGGTCATGATCCCAGGGTCCTGGGATCGAGCCCCGCATCAGACTCTCTGCTCAGCGGGGAGACTGCTTCCTCCTCTCTCTCTGCCTGCCTCTCTGCCTACTTCTGATTTCTGTCAAATAAAAAAAAAAAAATCACACTGTATGTAATTTTTTCTCTATTTGATTACTCAGGAATCATTTTAGAACACTGCAATTCTTCCACCAATGGTAGGGATTTCAACTGTCACGTTCCAATACTCGGATAAAATGTACAAGGCTGATCTCATGTTCTGTAGGAATATTTAGAGTGTGGAAATGAGAAAGATGCTGTCTTTACTTCAGAGTAGAATGTCTTTAGTTATCACATCAGGACCCTATGGCAACAAACTCAGGATTCATAAGATATGTAACTACAAAACAGGTCTTGAAGTTAAAGGGCACAGTATCAAAATTTCATTCTGCCATATCAGGTACTCATTGATCTAGTAATTTTATTTTTAACTGTTCGGCTATTAGATTTTTACTTCAGTGCTAGAAAATTAAAATGAGAAATCTTTCCAAAGGGAAAGAAAATGTTTTGTTGTTCCAGCCTGCCTAAATGAAATAAGCACACTTGGTGACTCTCTAATCATTCATTCACTCACCCGTTCAGCAGTCAACATGTACTGAGCCCAGATTTTATAAGCCACAGGGGCTGTGCCAGGAGCTGTAGACACAAAGATTACTAGCATGTTGGCTCTGTTCTCAGAGGAGATCCCCATAGTCACGGTGAAGAAGACCCAAATCCCAGCTCCAGCTCTAATTTGCATGTGGGCAACTGACTAGCATCTCTGTTCAGTTTTCCTCCTCTGCAAGATGGCCATGTCAAGCCTTAAGGCTCACAGAGGAGGTTAAGGGAGCTGTTTATGTGCATGTCCAGCACACAGCTGTCGCTCACTACAGGGCAGCCACTCTCAGGGCAGCTCATGTTCTGGCAGAGAGGACCTGGATAAGTATGATGGCCCGATGAGGAAAGGCTCTGGGAACTGGGAACAGGAAACATCCCTTCAATGGGAGAAGATTCACAAAGTGCTTGTGATAAAATGGACCTTGAGAGGTGTTTCCCCCTCAAAGAGGCCATTTCAAGCAAAGACAATATTGCTGAGACCTGATTCTGCTTAGCACATTGTGAAGTTGAGAGAATTCGGCCATGGCTGGATTCATTGTGAGGGGTCAGCATGGGGCTCAGCACAGGCAGGGGTCCAGTAAGCCTGTAAACTTCAGGGAGATGAGAAACAGGAGAAGCAGCATTTGGACTGAGGGGTGTGGCAACCAGCTCCAAGATGGTGCCCAGTGATTCTCCCCTCCTAGCCTGTGTCCTTTGTCTCCTCCCTCATGAGCAAGGCTGATCTGGGTAACCCAACAGGATAACAGGGAAATGATAAAGTGTGACTCCTGAGGGTTGGTCATTATAGACACTGGCGTCCATCTTGCCTTCCCTTGGATCACTTGCTCCAGGGGAGAATTCAAGCAGCTGATGGAGGTTGTCCCTCTCTGGGCAGAGCTTCGGTGCCTGGCCACCTCACAAGTCACCAGCCCGCTCTATGACTGGTTGGTCTGGGGTCAGGTGCCAACTCCCAGCCCAATGTGTGATGGCCAGGGGATGGGGACATAGGTTCAGAGCAGACCGACCTGTGAGGAAGGGCTGGTCCAGGTGGGCTTTCCTCATCAGGGCTGCAGGCAGGCTCACCCTCAGGAGGGGGCGGTGGGCACTGGGACTGACCGTCTGTGAGCAGGGCGTGGTTTTGCCTTCTCTAGGAACAGGCCTTTCTCAGTCCAGTGTGAACACAGCTGATTGTGCCTCTCACTTCCTCTGTGAGGAAAACCACAAGCAGGCACAGCTGCACCTACATGAGAAACCACACCGACCAACCAACTTCCCCCAAGTCTCATTCGACCAAAAATACATTGGATTTCCTGCCTCTTACATTATGGCCAAGATTGCCATTTGTTTTCCTGAATTTCAGGATTACAGTTGACAAAAGCATATCACAACCATTAGTCATAGGTGCATTTTTTTTTCCCAAAAATGATTTCTTTTACTCATTTTCCCGTCTTCCATTTTGTTCTGCCCTCTGGCAGCTACTTCTTTTTATTGTAAAAGCAATTGTTTTACCACCATTATTTACCTCCCCCCTCACTTCTACTTCGTAAGCAGTTGGTTCTAAATTGTCAAGACAAAGTAACTCAGGGAAAGTTCTAGGTGTTCTGTTCAGAAGGGCAAAACGTGCATCCAGCAGGTGCTTCCGAAGTTCTTCCTGGGTGGAGGGGTTCCACCAAGTGTGTATTTAGGATTGCTCTCTCCATCTCTCACTTTCTCAGGCTGACTTGAAATCCTCTTGGCATGAAGCAACAAGATGCATTTTTAAGCTGGCTTCTATTTCCCTGGGGTTTGGGGCCAAGAGCTAAGTGGGCGACAGCCAGCCACATCTGGCGCCACGAGCGCACCCCTCCTGGCAGGTCCCGCGTTGGGGAGGGCAGGCAAGCTCCGTGGGCTGGTGGGAGAGGTCCTGTTCCCCTTGCGGCGGGACTTCCCAGGGCTTCCTCAGGAATACTCAGTTCTTCCTGCTTATTCCCTAAAGATGTGACTCATTCCAAACCTTTGCAAGCGAGCAGTGAATCAGCAGGGGTTTTGCTTGTTTGGCTCATTCCCACGTGCACTATTCAGTACACATTCTATGAATGAGAAAATTGTGGTGTGACAGGGTTTAAATAAATTGTCCAAGGCCCAGGCAGTGAAGAGTAAACAGTGAGGCAGAGGAAATGAGCCTGGACCATCTCAAGTGCAGGGTCTGTGCTCTTTAGTAGCCTTCCTGGAAGCCAGAAAAGGGGTCTGGAAGGCCACAATGCATGGAGATGGGGATGGAGTCCCATTTCTTACTTTGCAGAAATATATATGCACATACTGCTTTAAGACACCTAATTAAAAGAGGAAACCAGCCATGACACGGAAGAGGTAAGTCACAGCAGGATAATTATCCATCTTCCTTAAAACTTAGCCATTTCCCTACCTAAAAATCATCTGAAACAGTTACTAGGCATTGATTCAAAATGACTTTGAAATGTTGGATACAAATAATACAGAAATTAGTGGCCTAGTCATGATCCCAGGGTCCTGACATGGAGCCTCGCGTCACGCTCCCCACTTAGCTGGGAATCTGCTTCTCCCTCTCCCTCTATTCCTTCCACCACCCAGACCTATGTTCTCTGTCTCTTTCTCTCTCTCAAATAAATAAAACCTTAAAAAAAAAAATCAAGTCGAAAAGAAAAAAAAATTAGTGACCTAAAATTATCTTCCCTCACTGATTATAATAGTTTTGCTTCTGGAAGTCATACTTGGCAGGACCTCAGTCCGTACCTGGTGGGCTCTCCAAAAACACCTGTTGTGTGACTGAATGAATGAATGACGACCGTGGGCCAACCTCCATGGCAGTTCATGTAACTCTTCTTCAGGAGGTGGGATGCCACCATCAAAGGGCAGGCCCTCCGGGGACCGCAAATGGACTCACACCCACGTCACTCCGTCCTGCACAGTTGGGCAACTGGCAGGCTCTCACCCAGAGTTAGCATGATTTATTAAGGTCTCTGGAATCCTGGATGAGACACGTTGTGCAGAAAGAATCCTCTTACTCATCCTTTCCCACTGCTGCCCCTCTCTTCAGCACTTCTTTCCAGCCTCCTCCCTCTCGCTCGCTCGTTCTCTCTGGGGCACTGTGCTCTTTCTTTCCAGTTATTATAAGTCCTGCCTGACACATTCCATTTACTAACAGAAAGATGGAAGGAAAACTTCCCTTCTATTTTTAAGAGCTGCTTCAAGATGCACCTTTCTGATGTTGCTGAAAGCTCTGGCATTACTGTTTCCTCTGGACAGAATTCTGTTCATCCAGAATGGAAACGGGCCCACGCAGCCATTTCTAATACAGCTTTTGCTTTGGGAGTTTGTTTCTCACCTTTGCCAGTGTTTGAGATACGTGAGATACTTGTGTGTCCTGGGTGTCACTTGATGAACAAGAACGGGGAAAACACACACAAAACCCACCGCTTTGTGGGTGTGTAAAATATCAACTGACATTTATTGTTGTTTTAGCTCTAAAAACCAACTGTGAAATGAGAGATTGGCTGGAGGAAGATGTGACTTAGAAACAATAAATGTGAGCAGAGACTGCCAGAAAAGACTCGATAATTCACGTGGAAGAGGAAAAGCCACTGGGGGAATCAGCCTCTCCTACTTTGTCCCACAGCTGCCACGATGGTAGTCTGGGGCGGAGAGGCGGTCCCAGGGCTCCTGAGCAGCAGCCTGGGAAAGGGCAGAGCCACCCACCCCACACGGCCCTAGTCCCTCTCATACAGCCGCCCGTACAGAGCTGCTGTCACCAGGCCAGAGGACAGTCCCCTCTTCCTCAGGAAAGAGTAGTCACTCTCCCAGCCAAACTGATCAGGGGTTTCCAGGGTCATCCCTGAGGTAAGAAGCAGAGGAAAGATATAGGAAGTACTGAAGTTCCCCCACAGGTGAAACGCAAATCTCCCCGTGGCCTCTGTGATCTCCTGCCCACAAGTGTCAAAGCCAAGACCCCCACACTTGACCAGGGCGCAGGCTTGAACGTAGTAAGTGCCATGCACAGTGTGGAGACCATCGAAGACCCCCAGGGCATACAATTCTTTGGACAAAGCGGGCCTCTGGTAAAGTAAATGACAGCAGAGGCCATTTGCACAGACACGGAGGTAGCCTTCCTTTCCCCACACAGGGACCAGGGTGAAATTGTCATACATCATCTCCGAGTGAAATGTGGGAGGAGCGTTTATGTTCCATTTGGTAGCTCTGTCACAGTGGACTTCCTGAGCATCCTTTTCACAGTATGGGTCACCTGCCAAGAGTTCTAAAAACTTACTGTGGGACGGGTCCATTTTACCCGTGGCATTCTCCGTACCAATGAGACCCAGCGGATTTTTGGCTACTTGTGCTATTATAAGATGACCTCTGGAGTCTTCCATGTCATGATGCCAAAAGGATTTCCGAGGGCTGTGTATACCACTTCCAGTCATCCCCAGAGTTGGGTGGTGGATGTTAGCAGCTAGAAAGTTGATGCCGAACGCAATGGAAAAAGCTCTCTGAATCTGAATGGCCGCCAAGAGCGGGAGCTGGTTCATCCAGGCAGTTGGGTACACGACGTGCTTCACCTCAGGGTCTTGGAGGAGCCTAATGGCAGGCTCAAAGAACAATATATCAAAGCAGGTGAAGATGCCAAATTTGCCAGCAAAGGGGGTATCAAAGATGATGAGATCCACTTCGAGAGGGGCATCGAAAGCTGCCTCAAAGTAGAGGTTGTGTTTGCGGTAGCGGTCAACAAGGGTTCCATTATTGCTGAACACGACATTCGTGTTAAACTGGTATCTTCCATCATTTGGGCACCCTGGGTCATTGTGATGACAAGGCTGCTTCGTCCCGAGATTGGCCACCAGGAACATGTTTCCCTTGATGGCCATACAACTCAGGCGCTGGAGGACCTAAAGAAAAAGAAGGTATACATGTTTTAAATTTATTTTTTAAATCCTGCCTTTTGTCTTATAATTTTAATTAGAAATAATTTTAAAATAGAAAAGTAGCTATATTTTATCGATAATATGTAAACAGCTATCATAAATCAGTAAAAAAAAAAAATACAGAGTATGTGCAGGGGATATAAAGAGTTGATTCATAGAAAAACAAATACGAACATCTGAGAAGATACCCAACCAGATTAGCAATGACAAAATGCAAATTAAGATAACGAGAGATCATTTTGAACCTACATAAGATTGGCAAAAATTCCAAAGATGATTCTATCTTACATTGACCAAAAGGTGGGAACACAGGCACTCAAACTATTACTAGGGAAGTAAAGTGAAAGAGCTTTTAAAAAGGGAAACTTGGGGGGCACCTGGGTGGCTCAGTGGGTTAAAGCCTCTGCCTTCGGCTCAGGTCATGGTCCTAGTGTCCTGGGATCGAGCCCCACATCGGGCTCTGTGCTCTGCAGGGAGCCTGCTTCCTCCTCTCTCTGTCTGCTTCTCTGCCTACTTGTGATCTCTGTCAAATAAATAAATAAAATCTTAAAAAAAAAAAAAGGGAAACTTGGTACTCCTCAAAATAATTTAAAATGTGCATATCCTGTAGCTGAGAAATTCCAATTCTAGGAATCTCCCCTCATAGAAAAACTTAGACATATTTACAAAAATATGTGTATAAGGACAATCATTGCAAAATAATAGCAAAGTTTCTTTTAAAAGGCATAGAGCATGCTAAAAAACAGGAAGTAACTACGAAATATGCAGAATATAGTTGGATGCACATTAAACTGTTGGTGGCAGTTTCTCTAGGAAGAGAAATAGGCAATGGGTGGGGTGTGTGACTTTCTTTTCTTTTTTTACTTCTGATTGATTCGTTTGTTTTCTAAGTGTATATTCATGTATTTCTTGTGTAATTAATAAATAGAACAATCCAGAGATGAGTAAAGGCCCCATAGTACTAGACATCCTCTAACTAAATGAATATATAGCCTAGGGAGTTTGGGGAACCTGGGTTTCCTGTTGAGGATCCTAGGGTCTCCTTTCAGCTTGATTTAATATGTCTTGGCTTTTGGCCCCGAGCTGGGTTCATCTCTCTGTGCCTTCTGCCTACTGAGGAGGAAGGCTGGGACCCTCACGTACCTCTGTGTCGTTGAATCGGTGGGGCTCCATGCATGGGTTCCACCTGACCAACCGGGGAGATGGCATGAAGTCCAAAAATGGGTAAACAGATGTTCTTGTAAAGTTGAATCCATGAATGCCATCTTCTGGAAACACTATAATCTGTATGCCCTGTAAAGTCAGAAACATCGAAGTAGGGCATGTCATTGGGTAACAGGAAGCCTCCCTCCTTTCATTTGTTCATTCTTTTGTTCACTCGTCTGACCCCCATCAAGCTGCTGTTCCGTGCCAGGAACCAGGGGTATAAACAGGGTGGCTGGACTCTCCTCAGGGATCTTAGTCTCGGGGAAGCCGTCTCACTTGGCCTAGTTGTGAGGGAACCAAGGCTGAGGGCTTTAGAAACCACCATTAAACACACCTGGGGTCGTGTCAGGGAAGGAGGGAATGAGGGAGAGGGGAACGGAAAGCGGGCATTTGCCAAGCAGATGGGAGGGGCGTGGAGTTCCTGGTGGTGGAGTGGAGGATGGGACACAGTACAGAGGCCTCGAATACTGGGCTTGGTCACAGAAGGGGTGTCTCCAGTCCCACGGTTTCCACTCATTGTGCATCTTTTTTTTTTTTTTTAAGACTTTATTATTTGACAGAGAAAGATCACAAGTAGGCAGAGAGGCAGGCAGAGAGATGGGCGGAAGCAGGCTCTCTAACAGAGAGCCCGATGCGGGGCTCGATCCCAGGACCCTGAGATCATGACCTGAGCCGAAGACAGAAGTTTAACTCACTGAGCCACCCAGGAGCCCCTCTCATCACGCATCTTAATCAGATGGGGAGCTTCTGGAAAAAAGCACGCTGGGCCCCACTCCTAAAAAGTCAGCTTCATTTGACTGGGTCTGACCACACAGTGTTTGTAAAAAGGTTTCCAGGTGTTTGTTTCTTTTCTTTTTTAAGACTTTATTTATTTATTGGGGGGGGGGGTGCAGAGACTGAGGGAGAGAAAGAATCCCAAGCGAACTCTGCACTGAGCATGGAGCCCAAGGCAGGGCTCCATCTCACAATACTGAGATCATGACCTGAGCCAAAATCAAGAGTCTGATGCTTAACTGACTGGGCCACCCAGGCGCCCCTCCCCAGTGACTCTAATGTGCAGCCAAGTTTGGGACCTTTTGGGCTGCTGGGTAAAAGTCAAGTGTGTTGATTTCGGCATAGAAATAAGGATTTTCTCTACTTGCAGGTCTCCACCTGGGAACGAGGAGGCTCCCTTCAGAATTCTAACCACCCCACAGGCTTTGTCCCACACCTGGAGACACCCTCAGCTCCATGATGTCTAGGCACCCTAGGGCACCTGCGGTGTCTGCAGTAACCTAATGAAATCCAAACAAGTGGGGTGCCCTGGGCTCTCAGCAGCAGGGCCTCCTTCTCCTGCTGCTCTCCACATACAGCTTAAAATGTCAACGTGAAAGGTGGAGGAGGAAGGCAGTGAAGGTATGAATAATCTCAAATAAGAGGCAATGTGAGTCACTTATTTCTGGAATGCACTGCGAACTTTTTTCTGGTTAAGAAAGCTTCGAAAGTTTAACTCAGAAAACAAAATACTAGTTAATATTAGTTTAGTTTTTCATTTTTTCTCGGTGTATAATTGAGTTATTAAATATTTATTATAAATAATAAAAGACATGTTTTCCATCTTGACTTTTCCCACTACCTAGAACCTCAAGACTGCACAGCTACCTTCAGAAATACCATTTGCCGTGGCTACATTCTATTTAAGGGGCCACCCCAGCTCATCCATTATCAGTGGACATCTGTCTGTATTGTTCCCAACTTCTGGTGACCGTCTGCATTCAGGGGGCTTAAAACACTTGCTGAGTGTTGTTCACAAGTCTTTGGATCTCTGATTATTTATTTAGAATGAACTCTTTTTTTAAAAAAAGATTTTATTTATTCATTTGACAGACAGAGATCACAAGTAGGCAGAGAAGCAGGCAGAGAGTAGGAAGCAGGTTCCCTGCTGAGCAGAGAGCCCGAGGTGAGACTCGATCCCAGGACTCTGGGATCACAACCTGAGCCAAAGGCAGAGGCTTTAACCCACTGAGCCACCCAGGCACCCCTAGAATGAAGTCTTATAAGTGAAAATACTGGCTTTAGGATATGAAGAGTTTTCAGTTCTTTACACTGCCAAATAGCTTTCCAGAAAGAATGAGGCCCGTGTATACTCCTTCCAGGAGACATTGGTCATCTGGTCGCACCTTGCAAAGTCATTGCAAACTAGGAAATAAAGCAGGATGAAGAATGTTTGCCTTTCTAACACATGCCAGGGGACTGGTTAACAGGATCAAGGATGACTGACCCAGTGAATGTGTCACTGTTGGGCTTTGTTTTTTCATAGAAGATGAAATAACAAATAACCTCAGAGATGATCCTTGCCTTGCCCCGTAGGACATTAGCCAGTTTTGTACTGATTCGCAAATTCATTTCAACATTCATTTGGTGAACACACTTCTGCTCCTCAGATGCTCTTCTAAACCAGCTTTACCATCTTATAGATTTCTTTATTCATCAGTGAGTTAAATGACAGCTTTGACACATGCCCATCCTGCATTTGTATTGGAGTCATGTTCTTAACGTCTTGAAAATTATACTTGGACACAAGTTCTCCCTTATTAAAAAGAAAACTCTGAGAACACTGAATGGTTCCCTTGTCAAGAGCACCTAAATTATGGATACATATTAGATTCATACTGAGGTTAAATTGCATTTCCTGAAGTACCTATTTTCCAGGAATAAGAAGAGGAACCAAACCTGAGCCAGGGCGGAACTTGGGGTCTAATGTGATTACCACTCCCTCTAGAAAGCAGTCAGCACTCCTGATAAATGAGCACTTTTCTGACAGACCTCCATGAGATCAAGAACTCCTGAGGAATTAAGGTTGCCAACCCAGCTGACTGAGCAGCCCAGTAGCTTTAAGATGGACTCCTTTCCTTCTCCACAAATACCTCTACCAAGAGAGAGATACTTCCATTGGCTTTTTTGGGGACCCCTGCCTTGTGGCAAGATTGATATAAAAGTTTGACACATGCTTGGCAGCCATGTGTCTTAGAAGTTGCTTTAACACGTATAACCACGCAAGGGAGCCGAGCGATGTGGAAGCACTAAAAATGATCAGATCAGCCGCTTCACCCCGGCCTTTGGGCCACACACAGAGAAGGAAGGAAGCCTTGCAGCCGGCCTGGGTTCAACAAGAACATGGTGTCTAGGTTTCCTTCAGGGGCAGGTTATCGGTAGGCAGGGGTGGTGTCTGGGGTTCAGTAGGGCATTTGCAAACATCTTAGGACAGTCTTATGAGCAGGATGGAGAAGCAGGAGGCTGACGCTTCAGCCCCGTGCTGGTGAGCACCTCTGCATAGAATGCTCTGGAGTGGATCTCTGTCATCGGCAGGTCTGAGGGCACAGCCTGGGATTTTTTTACACTGACTTCAGCGTAGACCTCAGTGAGGTGTGTATCAAATGTGTGAATGACGTGAAGGTAACTGATAGGCAGGATGTCCGTAAAGATCCCCAAATAGCCCACCAGGCTGGAATGAGGACACCTCCCAGCATAAACATGAAATCAGGTGCTCAGGTTAGAGACATTAACTTCATAAGGACAGAGTGGCGATTGGCAGCACGTGTGTCTGTGTGTGGAAAAAAGGCTCAGGAGTGTGAGCAGACAGCGAATGCCTCATGAGTCCACAGTGAGACGTGTCTACCAACGGTTTTCCAGAGACAACGTCTCACACGAGACTGCCCTCGTCAGACAGCATAGTGAGAACTTCCTACAGCTCTGGGCACACAGAGCATCAGGGAAGTCTTTGGTAGAAGGGATATACAGCCCGGAGGAGAGACACTGAGTTTGTGGGGTGGGGGTGGGTCATGACCGACGTCCTCAGATCTGTGGAAGATGGCCGCCAGGATAAGGCCCTCGGTCTGCTCTGTTTAGCTCAGAAGGCAGAATGATGGGAAGCAGTTGCAGGGAAGCCGATTGTTCATTGAAAGGAAGACCTTGCCAGAAGTCCCCACTCTCTCAGGAGACAGGGAGTGCTGGGCTACACAAGGTGCTCAGGGAGAAGCTGGATGTGGGGCTTTGAACTTTGAGGAATGTCTCCCAGCAGAAGAATCTAGACCAGGTTTTCAAGTTCCCTTCCAATCTTAGTTTTATATATGTGTATATATTTTTTAAAGATTTTATTTATGTATTTGAGAGAGAGAGAGAGCAAAAACAAGGAGAAGAGAAGCAGGCTTTCCATGAACAGGGAGTCCAAAGCAGGCCTCGATCCCAGAACCATGGGATCATGACCCAAACCGAAGGCAGACGCCCAACCAACTGAGCCACCCAGGCACCTCTATATGTGTATATTTAAGAAAAAATTGCCTATAATTTTATACACACACACATACACACACACATAATGGGTTAGAATTTTAAAACGCAGCACTAGAGAGTGGCTGTTCCAGGACCCCTGACCTCCCAGAACAAACACAGGGACCACCTGGGGCAGGGCCTGTGGGCCTCACCCTTTCTGGCTTCTATAGTCTGGGAGGAAGGAGGTTGTGCTCACATGGGCTTCACCTCCCACCAGGTAGGGCCTCCTCACGCAGTTGGGCTCCCCACCACCGGGTCAGAGCCCAAACTCCCCTTCGGTGATGGGTTTCCCAACAGGGCATTTTCTTGCAGTCACATCTGGCACCCAGATTTCCCCCTGCGCCCCACCCTTCCTGGCAGGAACAGCGCCTGTGGGCCAAGCAGGAAGCCCTCACAAAGGCTGGCACCGACCTCCCTTTGTCCAACTCCGTTCTGTCTGCACTGAGTTCTCAGCCTGCTCATGGTCTGGAACAGGGACCAGAAACGAGCCCCAAATAATCAGAAGGTGGGAAACAGCAGTCCTGTGGATGCTTACTATTTTCAGTGCCTCAGAGAGCGTGAGAGACTCCCGTCCCTGCTAGTTTCCAGATTTTTCTGTGCATGGGATTCCACTGGGGAGACTTAAAAAAAATCCCGGGGCCCAGCTCACACCCCCTCCAACTCTGTGAGCACGAGACCAGGCACCCACTGGACAAGCAGTCCCTCTGCACAGCCACACTGAGAGCCAGGGGTTAGTTCCGGGCTTCTCAGATATGAGGAGCAAAGCAGCACCGGGAGACCTTGGTACAATGTCTATCGATTCAGCAGATCTTGGGCGGGACCCAAATTCTGCACCTCTCACAGGCTCCTGAGGGCTGCGGCGGCTGGCTGGTGCATGGACCACTAAGACAGCTTTACCAGCTGGACTAGTTTCCCAGAGGGCCTGCGGGAACCACTGACCAAAGAGCGAGCTGCCCTGTTTTACCGGACAAGCTGGTGGGGGTCCGCCCCGGAGCTTTCCTTGCCTTTTGGGCTGCGATCATCACTTGCTGCTCATAGATGTCGAGGTTCTGGTTCATCAGCTCCAAGGCCTGCTTGCGGTTCATGAGAGCCAGGGGGTCGGGGGTCAAGATGGATCGGTGTTCATACACGGCGGCCATGTAGTGTTCAGCCTCGTGGTGACTGGCCACGCGTGGCTCCTTGGCGTGGACTCCCAGGGCAACCACGTAGCAGCCGCAGAGGAAAAGAGCAAGCTGGCGGCTGACCCCAGACATAACGCAGACCGTAAATCTGGAACGTAAGGAGGCAAAGGAGAAACAGCTGAATAAAGAATCCTGCCAAGAATGTAACTTTTGCAGCTGTGATTTATTAGTCCCAGCAATTAAAGCTCCCGCCTGACACTGCAGCTCAAAAATTTTTTTCATGTGCCTAATAAAAGAGTATGTGTTTCTCTCCAAACACGTAGCAGGCGACATTTAACATGGCTCGCTTTGTGAGTCTGGTATTAGAACGTTTCCAAAACAGAACCAGCACTGGCCACGATTTTCTAACCTGGGGTTCAGCAAGACACGAGCACGTCACTACTCACCTTCCCAGCCACACACTTAGGTTTTAGGCAAGAATGATGACTACGATTATTTTACAGAATTCGGGGGCCTATTCCACATCCCACCACCTGTCCTCTCTACACACCGGCAGGTCGACCCTCTACGCCAGCTCTGACTGTTGTGATCCCGGTAATACAGCTCGGCTTTCCTGGCCAGGAAGATCCCATGGATTAAAATTCTCCCTGCCTTCCTTTGGTCGGTACTGAATATAAAGGGTAAGTCCTTCTTAGCACAGGATTCTTTCTTTGGTGCGGAGAAGCTGCTGACTTCTACTTAAATGCCAGTACCTATTCTCCGTTATGGGCAGGTAAGAAGAAGTCTCCCAATCAAAGCATTTTTTCCCCTCCTTCCTGAATTTGACAAGTATAGTGTACATCATCATCTTCTCAACCTCTGTCTCTGCGATTCCAGAACTCTTATTCCAAAGTGTATCCATTTGGAAATATAATCCTTTTACAGCAGTAAAACACCATATTCTAGAAAATAAACTAGAATTTTCTAGAAAATATTCTAGACTTTTCTAGAAAGTAAACTCAGCTTTGTGGGTGTTACCATAAGAGATTAGAAGTAAATTAGGTCACTGACGACGACACTTCTGTGTGCTCTTTTTCCCAAGAACAGGAGTTTTTTTTTTTTCTTTTTTTTATTTCTTTTCAGCGTAACAGTATTCATTGTTTTTGCACCACACCCAGTGCTCCATGCAATCCATGCCCTCTCCAATACCCACCACCTGGTTCCCCCAACCTCCCACCCCCACCCCTTCAAAACCCTCAGATTGTTTTTCAGAGTCCATAGTCTCTCATGGTTCACCTCCCCTTCCAATTTCCCTCAATGGTCAGGCATTACACTGAATCGTCCAATTCCCCCTTGAAAAACAGCCTGGCCTCCCGCCTGAAGGCCCTCCCCCTACACACAGATTTACCAGGGGCCTTGCCAAGGCCGGGCCACTTGCTCTGTGGAGAGGTTCTGGGGCTGACCAAGTGCCCAGGAATCCAGATTAAACATCAAGATAACAGAGATGAATCAAGGAATCCTATCTCCGCTTTTTAAAAAGACAACGGACACCCTGTCCGATTCTGACTCATAACTCCCATGTTTGCATTTTAAAACCAAACTCTCCAGGCCGCAAATTTCCTCTTATTTTTCTCTTAAATGGCCCAGAAACAAAAATAGCCCCAAGTATTTTCAACAACAGAACAAGGACAAGGGATGCTCAGGCAGGATCCTTGCAAAAGCAAACACTTCTCAGGCTGAGCAGGGCTCATCCCGCCCGCCCCTCTCCCTTCTCCTGCTGTTACTCCTCGCCCCAGGGAGTAAGTACACCAAATACCAAACCCCGGGACTTGTTGCCATTCATCTGGGACACTGAACAATGTTTGAAGATTAGAACAAGGCGCCTTTGAGTAAGCAGTCATGAGTTTCTCAGTAAGAAACAAAAGTATAATTGATAAGCTCTCTTATCTGAATTTTGCCTCTGAAGACCAGCAAGGAATAATTTTAACAGCCTCAAAATCTAGTTTCCATTCCCCCCTCTGGCTCCATAATGATGATAATGGGGAGTGGTCGGGGGGGGGGTACTTTCATCTTCAAAGACACATTCCCTATATTTCTCAAGTATTAGGCAATGGCCTCACGAAGAGGTGGGGAAACTGAGGCTGGGGGTGGGGAGAGTTGTATGAACCAGGGCCTGGTAGAGCCAGGTCAGGAGTTCCTGGGGGCCAGAGCTGTTCTCAGCTAAGAGTGGTGTGTCACCAATTTACCTGGGGACAGAGGACGTGTATTTAAGTCTCAGGACTGCCACACAGTAAAACCAGAAAACTGGGGCGCCGGCAAGATAGCATATTTCTTTCTGTTTCGAGAAAATAAAATTTAGATTATTTACAAAAGGTGCCTGGTAGGAGAGCTATACATGGCAACCATTTGTGTGTGAACAAAGGTAGGTCCGTAATAAGAGGTTAGGAAGAGTCTACCAGGTGTTCACACTTGAAAGAGACGAGCTTAACGAGCTAGGAGAGAATGAGTAATTATTATAAAAATAGCTACAACAGTTTGCCCCTCTTGAAGAGTGGGGAAACAGCAGTCATTTAAACCAGATTGGCAAACGCTGGCTTTCCCTCTTTATTTGGCACTAACAAATGTCTCAGGAAAAACCAAACGAGGCCAAACGCAGACACTTCGAAGGGCAAACCAGGTAGGAGGGGGGCACAGTTATAAAGAAGCAGGACATCATCCAGATGTGGTTACCAGGGGCTGGCTCACAACGGAAAGCACAGGTGGGCTGGGGTGGGTGTAGGGGCAGCCTGGGAAGAAGAAAGTTCTGGAAGTCCTCGCCTTCTTGCAAACCCGGCAACAGATCTCTAGAGCTGGCCCGAACCTGGACCCTAAACAAAATGGTGAGTAGGGGCATATGCCAAGCCTGAAAAGGTTGATTCATACCGTCTTCCACTGGAGGGCGTTTGACAGGTAGGCTCAAACTGCAGGAAAGCCTGGTGCCAAGGCCCCCGTCTAGGTGACAGTGCATCTGTCATGTACCCTGAAGCAGTGTATCCTGCTTCATCCACTCTGCTCACTGTAACCCTCTGAGAAGGGGGCGTGGGCCCATGAGGTGCCCCAAATCCCCCTGCCAGGAAAACAGCCGAGCCGGGAGGGTGCTCACTTTAGACATCCATGGGACACCCAACTGTGAGCCAGACGCAGGTGGCGGTGTTGGGCACAGCCCTGAGCAAGCTAGGCCCTTTCCCAGCCAGCACCCCTCAGGATGGATGGGGAGACAGACCACAATCAAATCAATCCCTAGGATGTCAGACAGCAGCAAGCGCAAAGGAGAAATAAAGGCAGGGAAGGGGCCAGGGAGGGCTTGTCCTGGGTGGGGGTGATTTTAGACAGGAAGGTCACGGAAGGCCCCTGTGAAGTGAGGTCTGCCAGAGGTCAGAGAGGAGACCATGTGGATGCCTGGTCGGGGGTTGGGGTTGGGGGGGTGTTCTAGGCAGAGAGAACAGCTGGGTCAGAAGGCCCAGGTGGGAACTCACTGAGTAGCTTCAGGAAACAGCAAGGAGATGGGGCACCTGGATGGTTCAGTTGGTTAAGCATGTGCCTTCAGCTCAGGTCATGATCCCAGGACCCTGGAATCGAGCCCTGCATCGGGCTTCTCTTTCTCCCTCTGCTGCTCCCCCTGCTTGTGTGCTCATGCTCGCTCTCTGTCAAATAAACATAAAATCTTAAACAAAACAAAACACACACGGCAAGTGGGCTTGGCCCAGGGGCGGAGGAAGGCAGCAAAAAATGAAGTCAGAGTGACGCAATGCAGGCCTTGCTCCCTGGGCTCTCACAGCCCCCTGCAGCTGCCCTGTCCTCTCCCATTCTCCTCTTGCTGGAGCAGCTCATGAGAGCCAGTTCAAGCGCAAGTCAATCACGACACTCCTGTGCTCCAAGTCTTCCAGTGACACCCTGCTTCACGCGACAGAAAAGCCAGACTTCACAGCGTGCCAACAGGCATGAGCCGGGAGGCAGGAACTCACCGACGGGGTGGGCAGAGATTTGCTGGAGTGACATTTTTAACTGCCCAGAGAAGCCCCTGCTTCTCATTTCCCCATGAAAAATATTCTTCCAACCCTAATCCTGGTCAGGAAGGTTCTTGGTATCGTGAGAAAAAGAAATCAACGTCTAAAGTATATGGCAATCTATTTCATGGAAATTTGGTAACATGTCAATCACTAGTTATTTTTATACATGTGAACTTGTAGTTCCACCCTGCTAAGTGATTCATTTCGATAATTAGCTGTATTTCCTTCCTCACCATACTATTACAATAGTATCTTCTGCAATAAAATGAAAGGACTATTATTAAGGTGCTCTTAATAAGATAATTTCAGAGGCAGGCATAGACATTTAGAAATTTATATATAGAACTACTGATCATTTTAATAAAAGATCGTGTCATTCTTGACTTGTCAGGGAGAATAACAGTCCCAGGACTGGGAAAGGAGGCAGGAAAAGTCAGCAAAGGAAACGGCATATCTTGTGGAACAAAGCCGGAGGGACCTGCCAAGTCCTTAAGGAACCAGCACAGTCTATGCTTCCGTGTGTATCTGAGAGAATGCCTCCAAAAGACACTGTGAGTTTCCAAATGGTTTAAAAATTTATTCTCGTGACTGTCATGATATCCTTGTCTAGATCCTTTTACATAAGGGGAAATAATGTCCAACCTCCACCTAATTTACAGACTCTGAATTTAAAGAAGTCCCAAGAGACCTTTTCTTTCCTAGAAAGCCTCTTGTTTCCTGATTCTTCCCTCCGCTGCTGCTAATCGTGAGCTCCTCTATGACTGGCCCCTGGAATAGGAAGCCCCATAGTGGTATTAGCTTGGACAGTTTCATGCAAACCTATCCACCTACAAGACTTTTGATGTCTCCATGGGAAATGTCAAGTGTAAACACTTGTGAGTGGCAGGCGACGATGATGTCAACAGTCAAAGCTGAACTCAAAACAGTGAATAAATTACCCAGTCCTGTGAACTGACCTGCTAAGTTGTGATTTCACTTTTTTAAAAATCCCACCCATTATCTTACAAAAAAGAGAGTGACATACAGAAATGTAACTCGGGGCCAGACCTTTGATGAGGGCCTATTTGTGTCACGTTAACTAGTTTATCTTAGGATACCCAATGAGCACTTGAAGGATTGT